GTAGAAAAGTCAGGTTAAAATGTGTCACAATGTAGTACAGTGTACTACCGGTAGTATGGGTAAATCCTATCCATTAAATAAGACGATGATCTACAATTTAACCAACCAGAAAAATAACGGACTATATATTTAGAAAAACTTTTTGCATATTATCTTAAATGTGAATTATTTAAAATTCCTTATCACTTTTCTTATGTAAGTTCTATTACGTTTTGTGATAAGACGATTTAAAAGTTTTCAATCTTGATCATTAAGATTATTTAAATTTCATAATTCTATTTCTATATTCACCGGTTTAAAGTCAACCGATAAGCTGTTCATATAAAGACTTTCGTTTAATTGGCCGATTCAAATCAATTGCTTAGTAAACTTTTTTTATATGTTTTAAAGTACTTTTTTGAGAATGTAACGCTTCATTAATAAAAAATCGCCATAAAGGTGATTCCTAGTGGCAATATTCCCCAAAACCCGACCGTATGAGCGAAATTTTCAGTACGAACTTGAAATTAGATGTATACATAACTTATAAGAATTATAAAATTTATAGAGTAGTTATATAAAAACTGATAAGAGCGTAAACGATCTATAAGATTAATTACGTTAATAACTATAAAATTTAGAGTAACTATATAAAAACTAATAAATCATCTATAAACGATCTGTAAGATTAATTATATTAATGACTATAAAATTTATGGAGTAACCATATAAAAACTAATAAATTATCTATAAGACTAATAATGTAAACTATATATATATAAACTTATAAGTAACTTATAAGAAATTTTATAACAAAACAAAGAAAGGAATGCATCAAAAACAGCATAAAAGACAATGAAACAGCTAGAAGAACACTAGATGTGGTATTTAAAAGGTTCGAAGAAAGATTCCAACAGCACATCTGGAACTTCAGATGCGAACTAATTAATGAGTAGGAAAAAAGAGCTATGCATAACAAAAAAAAAAAAAATTAACTAGAACAAAAAGAACAGACAAGAATAAAGAAAAAGAAACCGCAAAAGCTCGAATCCAGAAAAAAAAATATCTAGGTCTAGTGAAGGAAAACTGATTAAGTACCGCATCAAGCCGTAGTCCTTCTGGATCACGTGTCAAGTAAACCCAAAAAAATTGCAAATCACGAACGTACATGGTTGTATACGATTTCTCAGCAACCATCTAATCAAATTCGAAGAAATTTTTTTATTTGAATTTTATGAATCTATAGAATTCAAATAAAAAAAAAAATTCATCGATTAGGTGGTTGCTGAGATATCATTGCTCAGGAAAATTTGGTGCAGCTTCTATTTTTGATAAACATTGAGCGATGATATCTCAGCAACTACCTAATCAAATTCGATGAATTTTTTTTATTTGAATTCTATAGATTCATAAAGTTCAAATAAAAAAAATTTCTTCGAATTTGATCAGATGGTTGCTGAGAAATCGCATACAATAACGTACAATCGATCGCAATCGGACAATCGGGCATGCAGTGATCTACAAATTTTATCAAAAGTCGCATCAATTTGTTCAAACCACGATAATGCAAAACGAAAAATCACCTTTGTGTAGCCTTAGTAATTTAAGTGCTGTTGAATTTTTAAAACGAGAGAAATTTTCCTAACTGAATTCGACAAAAAAAAATTTATTTTAATTCTACAAAGGTGGAGAAATAAAATAAAATAAACATTTCATTCAATTTGGTTAGGAAATTTTGTTTTAATAAATTTAGTAACACTTAATTTACTGATAGACGAATCAGTCCTTTCTAACATTAAGCGAAATTTCTCGATAATTTATTTATTTATTTTAATCCTACACATTCGTAGAATTAAAACAAAAAAAATTTGGTCAGGTAATTATCAAATTTTTAAAAAAATGTTTACATGTATGCTAATTTTGATTGGTCAAGAACGCTTGGATCGTCAATGAACATTACGTAATCTGTTGCGCTATAACTAGGGTAAATGGCACGGCTAAAAAATATTGCGTGCCATATGGCATGCCAACCGCTAAAGTTCGTGCCAGGATGCCACCCTGGCATGCCATTAAACCACGTGATAATATACTCAATTGGGATTGGTCAGTTATCATCTACTATAAAATAACCTTTCGGAATACTTCGGAGCATTGCTGCAATTTTTTACATTATTGATATTTCCACACCTTTTTTTGATATTGCCACACCTCTATTATCTCAAACCCTAACCAAAACCTTAATAATTTATATTGATTTTTAATATTATAGGTGTGGCAATATCAAAATAGGGTGTAGAAATATTATTTCCTTATTTATTCAGAACCTTTCGGAATATATATAAATGGCATGCCTATAAGCAATCTGGGCATTGGGCATGCCTATGGCATGCCACCATAGGCATGCCAATGACCTCTGTGCCACTTACCCTAGCTATAACATCCCTAGTCTTTAGATGATTTGCGCCGATCATACAATCACTACGTAGATCAAATATAGTATAAGGGACACAATTATCGTTATGTTATACGTATATATCATTAAAAAAAAAAAAAACTATATACGTATTAAGTTTTTAACATAAATAACATAAATATAAAGAGAATTTTTTTTCTGTTAAAATGGCTTCGGGATGCGATCTATACAATTATTCTTTAGACAATGCAAAAAGTAAATTTAAAATCTAATCTATATATTTAACAAAGACAAACATTAAAGAAAAAATAACTAACATGAAAACCTAGTACCCAAGACAACGTTCAGATTTTTTGAGCTAGTACAAAACTTAATAAATAACTGAATTTTAAACATGGACTACTTGACCTAATACAACAAGTACTAGATCTAATGTCTCGAGAATTACTTTTAATGGTTGAATTGTACTAATAACATTACGTTTCACTCCAAGGTTACCTGAACTCAATATACCAACTAAGTTTACTGATCTTAAATCATTCGAATAAGTAAACACACTCCCTCCGCTATCACCTCCGATATTAATCATATCTGCAAATATCATATCCGTCATAACTGTATAATCAATAATATAGGTAGCACCGAACGCTTTCGCATATCCACAAGTAACATGTGTCGAGTAACCAGATTTACATATATGAGCACCGTGACTATTTATAGGTACGACTTCATTGATCGTTAACTGTTTATATTGTTCAGAATCCGTATTCCTTATAGACGATAATGGTTTGATGTCGCCTGTTGCATGGATTATAAGAAAGTCATGTGGTCCAACATTATGAAATATCGCGTTCCCAACTAAAGTTGATTTTTGATTTGAATCCCATGCATTATAATAAAATACATTTTCACTATTACTTTTAGATTTATCAAAACAATGTCCCGCGCTTATTACGAAATTCGTGTTTGGATCTTCCCTATCTCTTGCCCAAAAACCTGCTGAACAAAGTCCACTATTAGCTACATTATATAAACCATCTCCACCCGGGAGCACACTATCTATACTACGCTTTGAATTAGATGATTGACTTGAATTAGATGGTGATGTTTGTTCTCTCACAAATATGATTAGCGGTTTAAGTGGCATGATGCTATCAATAAATTTTCTATCACCAAGTTTGCGTTTTATCTGTACAACTACATTATTTTGTTCCATATCAATAAATATTTCTACGTTTTTTGGGAGATTTTGTTCAGCTATTTTACATATTGTTTGAAACTTGGATCTTAATTCAACTAGAGAATTGGATGCAGGTTTGAATTCTAATAAATTTTTATACGGCTTTATCTCAGACGTGGATTCTATATTCTTAGTTTTAGAAAAATCTAGTGTATTAATAAATACTTTTTCCTTGAATACATCTATGTAAGATCCTCCAAAGCTTGAACTAAACTTGTCTAATAATGGCTGTAAGATTCCATCCACCATGATTAATTTCTTTTCAACATTCAATAACTCGAGTACTTTTTTATCTTCTACCTCCCATAAAATCGCCAACGGTTCTTTTTGAGCATTAGTGACCGAATTACTTTGTAGCATAAGAAGAAAGAATAATAAATTTATTGCAAAATTAATATAATTCATAATTGTAGATGGTAACGATAGCGGTAAATATTAATAAAATAAGGGGATATTATTAATAATAATTTGTTTTTGATCGTGTAGCTTTACTTAGCGTTGTTACCATTAGTTAGGAATATACTCTGATAGCGATAGTAAACGGGTAAACAAATCAATGCTATGAGCTTAGGGATTTTATATACTATATACAACAAAATAAATTAAATGAAAGCAACAAATATAAACAGGAGGAAACGTCCAAATATAGATATGATTTTCATTCTCCGTTACACAGATCACTCATTGTATTGACCAG